TGGTTAAACACTTTGGTCAAAAGCAACATAGGGGAGGAAAGAGGAGCTCTCTTTGGTTTGAAATTTCATCATTGCGGGACATCCATGTTTAGTGTTTTAGACATCTGGGATCACCATGTCCACAGTCAAGAACAGAGAGACATGAGGATTCATCCATGCTGCCTTCTTGCTGCTTGTCTCCATGTGCTCAGCTAGCTTCCCTAACTTTTATGTCATGTAAGGCCCTGCTAGTGAAATGGTGCCACCACAGTGAGTGGGGTCAGTTAACAGTCAAGCCAGTACCCCCCAGATATACCCACAGGACAAATTTACCAAGATAAGTTCTCAGCTGAGACTTACATGACAGACTAACCATGGCAATTTGCAAAACACAGCCTCAAAATATTCTGTTTGTAATTTTCATTTTTCCATGAGAGAACTGAACCTTGAAGGTAAGCTGATTTGGCCAGAACTATAGCTAGCTAGAGATAAGACTACCTGAGCTACGTGCATCATAACATATTTAAAGCATATGCTTGCCGGTATAAAGTCAGATAGTGTTTGTACTTTTGGATTCAACATAAATTCCAGGAGAGAATGAATTTTGCTTTGTATACTGCTATACCATCATCCTCTTAAACAAGGCCTGGCATGAGGCGAACATTAGGATACTGAATTGGTTACTACTTTTATAACAAAATACTACAGGTGACATCAATAAGGAGTTGTTAAGATTACAGTATTCTTTCTTGTGATCTACAGTTTAGGAAGTCTAGGATCTAGGTGCAGTAGATTTTATGTTCCCTCTCTATTCCAAGGGGATGACTGCTTTCTGCATCATGACACATTAGAGCAACACAGAGATGTGCTCTATTCTCTGCCCGCGACAGAGAAGATGAAGAGACTCAGCAGCTCATTGACCTTTCTTTTTATAAGGCATCAATGCCTTTCACAAAGGCAGAGGTTCATAACCTAATCCTTCGCTGGAGGATTCACCACCTCCTAACACCTATACAATGTTGATAAGGTTACCAAGTGAATTTTGGAGGGATAAAACTTGCAAATTGTAGAACATCATCTTCTCTTTGGGGGTTCTCTGTAGTAGAAGTCATATTTTTCTTCTATGCAGATGTCTGAGTGTATCTAAGCTCTTAGGAACCCAGGTGCACAGAGAATGGTGTGTGAGAAACACAATTCCCTCCAGGCAGCCTTTTGCTCTATCTTAGGATGAGTATGGGCAGCCATTTATTTGAAGGCCTAGTATAGTGAGGAAAATAGCCTTTTCATATAGATGGATTCAACTTATCATCTCTAAATATACTTTCCACTCCTTCCCTATCTCACTATTTAAGTTTGCACAATTTATTTTTTCCAAGAAACTTAGTCATCTGCTCAGTAACCTTTGTGATATATTGAAAATTGAAGTTCCCTTTCTTCTGGAAATTTGAAGCATTCATTTTTATTATGAAGGATCTATGTGAAAACCAAAGACAAACTCAGAGTTCATAAAAAAAAGAATAATGCTGTAATCATAACAGCTCATTATTTTGATGTTAAGCCTGATCTTTCACAAGGTTATTTCCTGGAGTGGAATTTTAATGGACTCTGGCTCTCTTTATGCAGAAGAGATCTTAAACAACAGTGTTCATAAGGAAGGACATTAATCAGGGGAGAGAAGAGAGCCTTGTTTCTAATAATGTTTGCATAATATCTACTCTTGGGTGTGTTGCTTGGCTTAAAAATAAGTACCCATGCTTTCTGTATCCAACACAATGGAAAATATTTGTGGTTAGGATTCTCTTGTACAATCTTCTATGCATTGATGGGGATATCAAACAGAGAGGCTTTTGGAGACTCATGGGAACAAAGAGTATCGCCCATGAATGATAGATGGTAGAGTTGAAAGAGTCCTTATTTAGAGGATTGGAGGTAAAGGACCTAAGAGCAAGTCATGATTCTGATTTCAGAAAGGGAGAGCAGGCTGGCCTGCTGGAGGACATCTGGATGCTCCTGTGGTTTGATTTTAACTCTTCAGTTGCTTCTTACCACCTGCAAAATGGAAAGAAGTACCAATCCCGGCATACAGGAACTCACTCCGGCGGCCTGTGAAACTACAATACACGTGAAGTGGGGCTGCCTCTTTGCAGCTTCCCTCACGCACTGTGTTTTCAGTTTCCATGTTTCTGTTCAGATGCTTCCCTCATTTTTATAAGGACTTTCCAAATCTTTTTTGCCAATTAGTTTTACTTATCAGGCATAGTCGGTTTAAATTTCCCATTGTCCACAAAAATCTTCTTTGGCTATACTACTAGCCACAGGTCTTAGCTGCCTTCTCCTTTCAATTGATTGGTTCACATCACTACACAGACTTTGCCCTGGAGATTCCTCTGTTGTCTTGATTTATTGTGTACACGTGTCGTGTTTGATTTTACACAGCTTTCTCTCTCCTTTTTGTGATCACTTATATTCTGAGAAAAGTTTCATATGGTCTTGGAAACAAAAGCTGGGCTGCTGTTTGATCTTGAGTGTGGGTTACAAGCCTGTATAAAGGTTCACTTCACAGTCAGAGTGGTCCACTGCAGCCAAAGGAGCATTCTTCAGTATGGAAATCCGGACTTACTTGTTTCTCCAAGCTGAAATTGCCGATAGTTTTTCTCAACCTCCCCTTCCTCGTGATCTGTTATAGGGTTTCTGTCCTGAAAAAATTTACCCACCTCTGTCCTTCCAATTTGAAATATACTGGGTTAGCAGAGTGTTACATGTTCAACTTCAAAGGCCAAGTTTACCCTTAGTAGAGAATGCTCTCTCTCTCTCTCTCTCTCTCTCTCTCTCTCTCTCTCTCTCTCTCTCTCTCTCTCTCTCTTCCACTTTGTGTGTGTGTGTTTATGTGAAATCACAGACATACTGAAAACTACCCCTTCTATCTGTTTATAAAGCTTTAAAAAAACAACCTTCAACCCTTGCTACAGAGATGACCATCACAACTATTAGCTTCCTTTGCCAAGGAGGAAAAAAATGGCTTAAAATGTTCATGTTCAACAAATCATACAGAATTATGCCCTAGTCTATCACTGTTTCCACAGCATTATAAACTTAGCAAGTGCTTTCTGCCACCTTCTGTGGGAGCCATGGGGCCTAGAAGAGCTCCACCCAGGATGAGTTCAATGCAGCAGTGGACAGAGGCCTGGATGGAGGAGCATGCATTGCTCTGTGCCTCAAGTGCCACTTCAGTCCCGGTGTCAGGATCCTTATTTATAAAAGAGTGAGCCCCAATATTTCCATAGGTTCTTTAAACATACCCATTCCCTTTCCATCGTTTCAGTATCTCTCCACTTTTTGCTTCTGTTTTTATGAAATAGCTGTTTGATAATTTCATGCATTTTACAATGCAGTCTCATTCCTCTCACCTCTGCCTCTTCCTCCCACCTTCTAGTCCCCCCCCCCACTAGTCCCTTTGCACGGTCATATCCTTTTGTATGGCTTTGTTTTCCTGTTGCTTTCTTTTCATTCGGTTCAAGGACTAACGGATGAGCCCCTGTGTTGTGTGAAGGCAGATTGGGTTCACAGGTGGTCCAAGGCTAAGTGTGCATTGCTTATATAGCTTCTCCCAGTTTTTCCAGTCCTACACAATCTCCCCTCCTCTTTCTTGCCTCTTCCTTCCTTCCATGTCCTCTTCTCTGTGGGTTTTCAAAGCTTCTGCTTTGTAGCACTGAATGCCTTTGCTTACTCAGGACATTTAAATGTTCAGTAGAGAGTCAAGTGGCAGCCAGGATGCTCTCTCTCTCTCTCTGGTGGTAGTGGTGATGGTGGTGGTGGTGGTGGTGGTGGTGGTGGTGTGTATACATGTGTTGTATGCATTCAGAGATAAACCAGGTCTGGTTGTTCAGGAACCATCCACCTAGTTTTTGAGGCAGGATATTTCATTGGAACCTGGAGCTTGCATAGTAGGCTGGGCTTGCTGGTCAACAAGGTCCAGAAATTTGATTGTCTTCCCTCTCTTGCACTAAAATCACCAATGAGTGAGCTATGGAGCCAGCTCTGTATGCCTTGTTTCTTGACACATGCTACTAGACTTTAATTTAATTGTGTTGAGACATTAATTAAATAAGAACAAAAATGGTACAGTGTAAATGTAAAATAAGCTTAGATTATTTTTCTTTTAAAGTGCTGTGACTTGAAAGGCTGAGTCCATTCTTTGGATAGTTTCCAAACTGATACAGTTTTTTTTTTCTGGAGGCATCAGTTCTATAACAATGCAGGTAGCTGCCTTTAGGAAGCAGGATTGTCTTTATATGTGCAGGTACTGCTTTTATTAACACAATTTTCTTATATATTTTCTATACCCTACATGCATAAACTATTAGAAATTTTAATTTTTCTTTCTAAAGCTGCAAGTATCTTACAAATAAGTTAAGTTACAAAAGACCTTTAGGCTTATTTTCATCATGACCACCTCTGAATTTAAGGTCAAATGTGATTATTCTCCCCAGAATACAACTGAAAAGTGATTTCATTCTTTATCTCTAATCCTCTTTATCTCTTATCCATGGAATAAGATGGATTCCCAACTGAAATGGCTGGAGATATAGTGAATCTCTAAGAGACCAAAGCAGAAGGCCCGGAAAGAGGAACCACAGTGATTAACCCTTTCAGCTAGTCCAGCTAGCCTAGTCTTCACTTTTGTGGTTGTTGAAACTGAGGCTCACGGGTTTGAATGTTTTGTCCAGTGTTCCGCACCTCTTAAGGTCAGAGCCAAGATTTTAATTTAATGAAGCTCCAAATTTTACATTATCTTTTCAGTATCAGGATGGGGCAGGGTCAAGAACGTACTGTAGTAATGTATATGATTGGTGCTAGGGTAGGAAAAGACTTGAAGATGGGAATTTTATCTGTTTAACAAAGAATCCTTGGTTCCTGTCTTCAGTATAGATTATGTCTCCTAAATGTGGAACCATTTCATCTGTAACTTCCCATTGAGAGGGTCTTCTACTAATGAGACATCTCTCTTTTGTCTTTCACAGCAATTTTGCAGGCAGTAATAACTGGTGACCTTATGAAGGTAAGCTATCCTCCTGCCAAAACCTTGGTGATCGCCTCTCCAGATTTTCATGGTCCAGTCTATAAACTACTCCCCCTGCCTGCACTGGCTGAGCAGAAGGAGGAAAGGTGCTCTTCTGAGAAATGAACTGAGAGAATGTGAAGAGCCCTCACCACGCTCTGAATCTCCTAATATCAAAGGAAAGTGGTAGAATTGCCTGGACTCGCCTTGGTTAGTTATGGGGGTGGGGGGAAAGGACTGTATTCCCAAGATGCAAGGCACGGAGTGCCTAGAATCCCTGCTCTTTAAGACAAACTTTTGAAGGCTTCTTTTTCAGATGTGTTTGTGAATGAATATATATGTAGAAATGACCTGGGTGAGACCCAGAAATGCATGCACCAGCTTAGAACCAGCACCTGTTGATATAGTAGTCTACTTTAGATGTCACAGCCAACAGAAAATGGACATTCTAGTCTGTTTGGGGGTGTTTCAGCTTGAGCTTGTGTTTTCTGGTGAATTTAGTTCACAAGGAAGGAAATGGTCACCATCTTCTTGAAAGCAAATGCCAGTTCTGAAATTAGATTGCCTGATTTCAGCTCTTGCCTCTGTCCTTCACTCTATGTGCGGTTTTATGCCTTTAGCACATTTTCTCAGTGCCTTGATTTCTTTCTCTGTAATAGAGAAATATAACAGAATAGCTGTGTTATTTCTTTCTTGGTTTGTCAGAGGACTGGGTTCAATCCTGTGATAAGGCTGCCAATACTGTTCATGTTGCAGCAAAAGGTGCCTAAAATGTTAACTGGCTTAGTCTTGCTATACAGTATTAATCTGCCATTTTTTCTAACAATGTAGTTATTAAAAAGATATTTGCCAGAATGTATTCTGTGAGTATTCTAAACAATCTGACTGCCCTTGGGTTATTTGTGCTGGGGTCTCATGACTACCTCTAAGTCCCTGTGTTGTGTAATGGCACTAGTTGCCTCTGTAATGTGTGTTAGTTAGGGTTTTATTGTTGTGAAGAGACATCATGACCATGACAACTCTTATAAAGTAAAACATGTAGTTAGGGTGGCGGCTTACAGGTCAGAGGTCCAGTCCTTTATCTTCATGGTGGGGAACATGGCAGCAAGCAGACAGGCATGGTGCTGGAACCATGAGAATGCTGCATCTTGAAGGCAACAGAAAGTTGACTGACTGACACACTGAGGGAAGTTTGAGCAAAAGAGACATCAAAGTCTGTCCCCACCATGACACATTTCTTCCAACAAGGCCATACTTCCTAAAAGTGCCACTCCCTTTGGGAGCCATTTCCTTTCAAACCACCACAGTGGGGGACATACCTTTCTCCTCAGCCCAGGAACAGTACAGGCTGAGAAAAAAAAAAGGCCATAAAAGGAAGGAAGGTGAGAATGATTTTTTCCTCTTCTCTTTTTCCTGTCTAGATTCTTACCCTTTCCGTTTTCTCTTCTTTTTTTCCTTTCCTTCCCTTTCCTTTCCTTTCCTTTCCTTTCCTTTCCTTTCCTTTCCTTTCCTTTCCTTTCCTTTCCTTTCCTTTCCTTCTTTTCTTTCCCTTCTGTTTTAAGAATTCCCATTGAATGAACCAAAGAATTCCTGTTCTATTGTCTTCAACACATCACTAGCAGAAAGCAAACTGAGAGAGAGGGGGGGTTGCCTATATATCGGTCAATTTCAGGCTCACTCATATGATTCTGACCACATGTTGCCAGTACTGTTTTCTACTGTAGTATTCCTGGGGACTGTTATTCAGAAGAGAAGCCTCATCCCTAAATAGGATTTCTGGAAGTTCAGAGTTGTTTCCCTTCGGTGGCTAGCCAGCACAACATACAATCCTACAAGGACTCACTTACCTTGGATTCTATGGGAAGCAAGCACAACCCTTGCACAACACTGCTAATTCAGTTTGCAGTCTGAAGCTCTTTCCACATGCTTTCATTATAGCCAAAGAACTCCCTAGATTCGGGATGTATTGTTACACATTCTAAAATGTTTTACAGAAAATTGCTTAAAATATGAGAAACCACTAGATCTAGCTGGTTATCCTGGCATGATCTGCGTTATAATTATTCCCTATCTGAGGAGTGACTCAGCAATACTGTATTTACTATGAGATGAGATACAGAAAATGGAGGACTTTCTTTTCCAGTCCTTTATATATATATATATATATATATATATATATATATATATATATATATATATCATCTCCTCAATTTTATTTCTGCTTTTCTCTTGTGTGTAGAATGCACAATACATATTAAGTATTAAACAGGCCCTGTATGAAACAGGGGTAATGGGAGGAGATGGGCGAGCAGACTCCAGGAGCGCCCAGGCAGTGAGGATATGTAATCCCCAAATTCAATTGCTAATGGGTTGACTTTTAGACATAGTATACAACCTTCCCAAAAGGCAGGTTCAGGATAGCCAATCCTTACTTGGTCTGGGTGCATCTGAACACAAGACGTTTATAGCGGAACACAACAAGATTCTCCTTTGGATCTGCATGCTGTTTCTTCCTGTTCTCTTGCCCTCAAGCTCAGGGCTACAGCTTTCCCTAGCTCTCGTACTTTTGGCACCTCAGAGCATCCAGTCTTCTTAGTTGAGTTTCTAGATACTTTTCTGTGACTCCTTTCTAAAAAGCTGCTTCTTCTCCTGGGGTCCCTCTGCTGGCCTCATACCGTCTCACTACAACCAATGTTTCTGTTCTTCCTAAGAGATTTGGAGGCCCCCGAGGCTGCTGACTGAGTCACATTCTTGTTGCTCATGTGCTTGTATTTCTTGAGACCTGCTCTGTTGGTAGATTCTTCTTTGTCTCCATAAAATAATAATCGATGAGAAGCTTCACCAACGCTACTCCTGTCCTGATACTCCACAGTTTGGAAAATGGTGACACATTTATACCCACGAACTAGGTCTACAACTTCATTTGTCCTCCCACCCCCTTACTCTCTGGTGGCTAAGTTCTTGGCTTTTACCACTGGCTGTTCCCATAGAGAAACAATGGTGTTCACACCATCATTTTGGTCCTCTTTATTGCTTGATCATCTCTAGCCATGTTGAGTATGTACTGCTTGATTCATAAAAGGTATTGGGGTGAAAAATGAACTGTCCCTCCGAGTATGTGTGCATGTACATGCATGTGCACATGTATGTGTGTATGAGTGCTGTGTGCAGAAAAATGAAGCATTTGGCAATTGTGTTCATGACAGGTCAAAGAACAACTAAAGATACAGGAAAGGGTCAGAGCCAGGTTCTTCCTGCTGTTACATATGCTGGATGAACCTCAGGAAATTTTAGTTTTCTTCTCGGAGTCTGGGGCTCAGAAGAGGGGAAGAAAGCTAATTCATCGTATTTCCTGTTTCCTTGAGCTATTTGATACCACAGACCCTTTCCAGAGCCACGTGAAGCATCCACCGTCTATGTGAATGATAAAGGGATGGTCCTTCATCATTTTGACTTTTCTCTGCGTCCTCTGAGGCTAAAATCATGTGTGGTTTACTAACTGACTCTTCTGTGTGACCTTGGGGCTTTTATCCCTGCTATAGACTCTGCTGACCTTCTCTCCCTGTGTCTCTTCCTTTCAGCTCATAGAAAGCTATAAGAACGGAGGCAGCTTGTTAATTCAGGGACCAGACCACTGTTCACTCCTTCACTATGCAGCTAAAACCGGCAATGGGGAGATTGTGAAGTACATCCTTGACCATGGTGAGTCGGGAACCTACCAGGGATCACTTTCTCGTGGAGTTCTAGGTAGCATTGTCTCTGTTGACACTCAACCAGGAGATCTCCACAGTGGAATATTCACCCGTTGTTTCTCTGACACCCACTGATGCAGGTGGCCCACCTTAACCAAGCAATTAAAATACATCTTTTTTTTTCAATATCCAGATTTAGAAAGGGAAGGCTTTGGGAAAGTAATTCATTTAAAAATCAAAAAAACTTTCTAAAATTAGTTCATTGCTGGGTGCTGTGGTGAACGCCTTCAGTCTCAGCTGTCAGGAGGCAGAGTCAGGTGGATTACTATGAGTTTAAGAGTTTGAGGATAGCCTGGTCTACATAGTGAGTGATAGGCCAGCTAAGGCAACATAGCAAGACCCTCTTTCAAAAATAAATAATTAAATAAAATTAATTTAAAACATGTATATCTTTGTTTTTATTGTATAAATGTTTTGTTTGCCACATGTGTGCCTGGACCTTCTGGAGGTCAGAAGAGGGCATCAGATACACTGGAAGAAGAGTTATAGTCAGCTGTGAGCCACTGTGTGGGTACTGGGATTTGAACCTGGGTCCTCTGCAAGAGCAGCCAGTGCTCTTAACCACTGAGCTTTCTCTCCAGTCCCTAACTTTAATTTATTTAATGAATTAAAAGTTTGTATTAACAAAACCTAGCCTGACATAGCTGTCTTTATTTTGTACAGCTTTTCATAATTTAACTGCTTGGGCTCTGCTAGTCCATCTGCATTTGTGGTTGATTCTTCTGCAGATTCCTATATTTGTTCGATCCCATTTTTCTAATTTCTTAGTTTTCGTTGATTGACTCTCATTTGTCTCTTTCCCCAACTCACATTTCGTGGTGCTGCCACGTCCCATGTGGCTGCCAGGTCTCACCTCCTGGAGTGTGTCCTAACTGGTCCTATGTACCATGTGGCTGTCTGACAACACCTCCTGGACTGTGTACTAACAACTGAGCATCCAGCTTGGGCTTAGATCATTCCCAAGATGGAGAGCTCATTGTTTAACATCTGATTCTAGAGCCCAGTGGAAATATAATTACAACGTGGAACACAAACCACTCAGCTTCTTGCATCATATTATATATAATTGAGCTCCATATTTTTCTTTGCATCCCTCCCTGCCTCTCCTCTACCTTCAACCCTCTCCCAAGGTCCCCATGTTCCCAATTTACTCAGGAGAGCTTGCTTGTCTTTTTCTACTTCCCATGTAGATTAGATCTATGTATGTCTCTCTTAGGGTCCTATTTGTTGTCTAGGTTCTCTAGGATTGTGACTTTTAGTCTGGTTTTCTTTGCTTTATGTTTACAAACCACTTGTGAGTGAGTACATATGATAATTGTCTTCCTGGGTCTGGGTTACCTCACTCAAAATTATGTTTTATAGCTCCATTCATTTGCCCACAAATTTCAAGATGTCATTATTTTTTTCTGCTGTGTTTTCTCCATTGTGTAAATGTACCACATTTTCCTTACCCATTATTTAGTCGAGGGGCATTTAGGTTGTTTCCAGGTTCTGGCTATGACAAACAAAGCTGCTATGAACACATTTGAGCACATGTCCTTGTGGCACAATTGAGCATCCTTTGGATATATACCCAAAAGTGGTATTACTGGGTCTTGAGGAAGGTTGTTTCCTAATTTTTTGAGAAATCACCACACTGATATCCAAAGGGGCTGTAACAGCTTGCACTCCCACCAGCAATGCAGAAGCATTCCCTTTACCCCACATGTTCTCCAGCATAAGTTGTCATCAGTGTTTTTGATCTTGGCCATTCTTACAGGTGTGAGATGGAATCTCAGAGTTGTTTTGATTTGCATTTCTCTGATGACTAAGGATATTGAGCATTTCCTTAAGTGTCTTTCAGCCATTTTAGATTCCTCTGTTGAGAGTTCTCTGTTGCTAGCATAACTAGATATCAACATGTAGAAGAATGAAAATAGATCCATATCTATCACCATGCACAAACATCAAGTCCAAATGGATCAAAGACCTCAATATAAAACTAGCCACATTGAACCTCATAGAAGAGAAAGCAGAAAGTACACTTAACACATTGGCACAGGGGACCACTTCCTAAATATAACCCCAGTAGCACAGACACCGAGAGGAACAATTCACAAATGGGACCTCCTGAAACTGAAAAACTTCTGTAAAGCAAAGGACACGGTCAACAAGACAAAAGGACAGCCTACAGAATGGGAAAAGATCTTCACCAACCCCATGTCAGACAGAGGTCTGATCTCCAAAATATACAAAGAACTCAAGAAATTGGTCATCAAAAGAACAAATAATCCAACAACAACAACAACAAAACCTGGAGTACAGAGCTTCTTGCATTTATAATAAGACTAGAGATAGAGAAGAGTGGGAGGGGGCAGAAAGAAAAAAAATGCCTTTCTTGGAGGTGTTTAAGAATAAATGGAAGAGACTGTCAGTGAGACCCAGGTCCGTAGAAAGCCTAAACAGCTTCCTTGGAGCACTGAACGTGAGCCTGGTTACTTCGCACAGACACCAAGTCGTCTCTCCAGCCCCTCGAGCTTACTTCCTCTGCACAGGCATTTCAGCTGTACGTTAGCAGATTAATGAGTACTCTTATCCATTTGTTTCTCTTTTTATGCCACTGGGAACGTTTGCATCTTTCCACTTGTTCCTTCCTTCGTTCTTTTGACAAATCCACATAGAGTGTCTATCAGGAACTGCCTGCTATAGGCTGGCACACTTAAAAATAAATGCACTCAAAAGAAAATGCATCCAATCTTTTCAGGCAGTAGCAGTCAAAAAAAACCCACAATTAGTGTACAAATAAACAAATAAATCCAATCCAATTGAATGTGGATGTTTTAGGTCTTACTGTAAAGCCACACACAAATAGCACAGCTACCATTTTTCAAGCTCATTTAATATACAAGATGCCTGAACAGAACACACCACTTGATTTCATCTTTGTGGAGACCTCATAAGGTGGCTAGCAGGCTGCCAATCATCTGAGACTCTCTTTCCTTCCTCTTTCTCACTATGATGAGTTTTGCTTCAATTCTTGGCCAGAGTCATGGTTCAAGGGCTGGAAGGAAAGGCTGTGAAGTTGGAGTGGTGGGTGCTGGAGAATGGCTTTTCCCAGGAGACAGGGTAGTTCCACTCCTGCCTGTCTTAGAAAGATGGGCTGTGGTGCTGAGTCTGCTGTGGGCATCATTCCTTCTCTTTTCCTGACCATCTACCCGCTTCAGGAAGAGACTTGAAAATGAAACAGTGGTGTGATTTCTGCTGCACACACATGCCATAGGTTTTTTCTCCTTTCTGCGGCAATTTCTTCAAAAGGCTGATGAGAGGCAGAGGCAAATTTTGTAATATTGAATGTGGACACCAATTAAATCCACCCCATCTATGGAACTTTTTCCTTTTAAGAAAAGAAAGTCCTCAGTATTTGCACAAACTCCAGATAGTGGTCATCTGATTTGAGACTGGCTAGCCTGGAATTCTTTGGGCAGGCTGGCCTCAAACTTGTAGCAATCCTCCTTCTTCTGTCTTCCAAATACTGGGATGAGAGGTGTCCTCTGTCACTCCCAGATAACTTGTGCATTTGTAAATCATAAACTGTCTTTGAATCATCCACCTCTCTGAAATGATGGGAAGCCCTCTAGTGAGGTGTTCTTTAGGTCACGCACAGATAAAAGGGAAGCGTTACCTTGGGCATACTTGGTCCTTGGTATTTTGTGAGCTCTCTGCAGACTAACATAATCTCTTCATGCTTGGTAGTACTGGAGAATAACAGAAATGTTTATGTATGCTGAAAATCTTTTGACGTTCATGTATGTGTAAATGCACATAGCAGCTTGGCTCACATCTCTCTGATAGCTTTAGATAATAGAAATCCCACAGGTTTTGCAAAGACCTTGTTATGGGGATGCCACCAGGGATGATTTAGACATAATTTAGAGCCAACTGAAAGTCTGTATTCCGGCTAGCTGGGGCTGCACTCAGGTCTTTGGGATGTAAGTGTAGCCCCAAGCATTTGGACCAATGGAACTTTAAAAAGCAAAAGCAGTATCTCAGCAGCTGCAGCAAGAGGTTTGCACAAGCAAGCGGTTTAACAGAAGCTAAGTTACCTGGGGCATCTTGGTCTCAGGTCCTAGAATAGAGTTGAGTAATTTTCCATTGGATTCTCCATCAAGTTGATCAAATTCTAGGTAAGTCTGAAATGGCCTAGCAAGAACTCAAGATGGAGGAACCTCTGCACTGCTTGATCTTCTGCCTGTTCTCAGCCTTTTCTGACAATGACTATTAGGAACTCCTGGGCTCTTTGCAAGGTACCTAAGTCATATTCTGCATGGTCCCCTGAGATGGCTCTCAACTCACCACATCCTTTCTGCTCTGAGCTCCGGTCTGCTTTGTCCCTTCATTGGATGCTGATCCCCAATCAGGAGGACCTCCTTCTGATCTGGAGTCCCAAGAGATGAGTTATCTCAAGCCCCCACAATACCATTTCCTTCCAAGGGCTCTTTTTAATACGGCCGCGGAGCATGGGCTGTGAGTGGAATGTGTAGCGTGTTCTGAGAAAGTCATAGGAGGCATCTTCCTTTGGACTTCTCTCCGATGTGTGAAACACTGCTTTCTTTTAGTGGGGGAAAAAGAAGCTGGAATCTGGGCATTTCAAGGCCTGAAAAGTGAATGGGAGGAAGAAGAGAAGAAACAATTCCAGAGACAGGGCCGAGCCCTGGATACAGGGACTCCAGCAGGGACTCTCCCCACGGTTCCTGCTTTTCAGCTCCTTTCAACCATCATTTTTACTGGCTGCCTCCCCCCTTCCTTTACTCCCCAGAGCATTTTGCTCTTTTGTCTTTATTCTCCCTGTGCCCACCCGGCTGCCCCCTACTGTTGCCTCAGATAGAAACCCTGCTCATGCATTTCCTTCTTACTTCAATGGGTTATTTTGTCTTCTCTCTTTTTCTGACCCCAGTCTTTCTTTTTGCTTTT